CCTTCGGGCCTGGCCCGTGCTTCTCCTCAATGGCAGCGGCTTGCAAATCCTCCTCCTCCAAGCTCTTGAGCTCTGGCAGGTACGGGACTTCGTAGCTGTCGCAAACGGCGTTGATGACCTCGCGCAGCTCGATCAACTTCATCGTGTCATGGCCATCATACTGAGGCCAGCGCTCCGACTGTCGGCGGATGCTCTTCACGATCTCCGGCAACTCCTCGAGCGCCATGTTCTCGATGTACTCCTCGACACCGGTTTTTCCTTTGGGGAACTCGCACTCAAATGGGAAGCACCCAAGTCTTCAGCTCCTTGACGCAGTGTCCACGCAGTCGAGGCCCATAACCTATTGAAAGACGATTTGAGCTGAGACAGTAAAGCGGTTCAATTGCACTTCTCTCACAGGAGAGAACGATAGAAAACAGGAAGGGAAATATCCAAAAGAAAATGCCACTCACGGTCAGCGGGACCGTACTTATAATCCGGTGGCTAAACACACCCAGAGTGTACGAGAGGGTTCCTCGACGGGCGGCGGCAGCTGCACATCGTCGAGTACACTTATGCAATCCTTCCAGAGGGATCTGGCAGGTGGTCGATGCTTGCACTCCAATAAAATCACCAAATTGTTGACGGCCCACCTGAACGCCGCCAAGGGGTTGTAGCCGCCGTGCCTAGCCAAGGCAGCAATGCGCCTCGCGCGGAATGATTTGCGCCACAGCCGGCATTGAGTTGGCGTATGCGTGTTCTCAAGTCCTTGCGCTCTTTTTGCCTCGTTCTCGTGTAGTCCATCTTGTTTTGTTTTGTTGTTTTTTTCGTTTTTCCAAATTGATGTCAAAGCGTAATCTGAACACCGATCGGTGCGGGGGACAGCACCCTTATCCACGCACCCCACAAGATTTCAAGTGTGTGCACACACCCTACCCAACAGATAAAAAGCCGGCGCTATGTCCCCGGGACGGTGGCACTGGAAGGTCATTCACATGCATGTCAGTGTTTTTTTCAATTTTTTCTCAAAGGTTCATATTTTTTTTTGTCTCTGGCAGTGCAGTGCCAAGTCAATCAAAAGGCTCAAACCGGCCCGAATAGAAAACGTGCAACAGATACACACAAGGGGGATAGAGGCAAGATGAGAGAGAAGGCATTTACTTGGAGGTCATCATGCGGACAAACTCGTTGTAGTCGACCTCGCCGTCACCATCAATGTCGGCCTCACGGATCATCTCATCGACTTCCTCGTCGGTGAGCTTCTCGCCGAGGTTGGTCATGACATGGCGGAGCTCAGCAGCAGAGATGCGGCCGTTGCCGTCCTTGTCAAAGACGCGGAAGGCCTCGCGGATCTCCTCCTCAGTGTCAGAGTCCTTCATCTTGCGGGCCATCATGGTGAGGAACTCGGGAAAGTCAATGGTGCCGTTACCGTCAGCATCAACCTCGTTGATCATGTCCTGAAGCTCAGCCTCAGTGGGGTTCTGGCCCAGGGAGCGCATGACGGTGCCGAGCTCCTTGGTGGTGATGGTGCCATCGCCGTCCTTGTCGAAGAGGCTGAAGGCCTCCTTGAACTCGGCGATTTGCTCCTCGGTCAACTGATCAGCCATTGTGTTGGTTCAAAAATCTAGTTTGATCAAAGTCGGAAACAGTCGAAAATGAGTCTCATCGAGTACAGCCTGGTTCAAGAAAGAATGATACGGCAACCGCGAAGCGATAAAAGAAGCAGTAGCACGGGTTGGAAGAGACTTTCAGATGTGGGTGGGCAGCAACACAGCACAATCAACCAAAACAAAGCTCTCAAGTTGCGCAGTGGCGCAGGGAAGCGAAATAACGCCCACTGATCGCAA